CCACGGTAGACAGTTTGAGATTGAAGCTGTGAGACTTTGAGGATGTAACAACAGAGTAAGGTAGAGCATTCCAGGCGTTTACCACTCTGTTGCTGGTCGTATCTCCTACATGGGATGCAATCTAATTTTGCTGTTTTTAAACAACTGGAAATTAGGAGATTCTTGCTAATTTACTTTAAATCATCAGGAAATCTATTGATCTTAGGTTCTTCTGGCTCCCCCTACCTTAAATAACTTTCTATTTTGCAGAACTTGCTGAAAGTGGTTGATGTGTGTAGAAAGAGTTACATGTCTAATTCACTCAGCCAACAGCAGCATTGTGAATCCTTGTATGTAAAAATGAATCAGCACGGGATTCTTATGAGTCAGTCCAGACATGGAGCTATGAACCCTGAACTCATCCAGACACTGAGCTATGAGGTCTCACGTAATGAGTACTGTAATAAAAATGCAGGGATGCGGAATATTTGAAACTGCTAAACCATATTTATCTATATTATTATTTAATATAGTATTTAATAATACTCATTATCTAAGTATATTCTACTAATACTTACCTGTTGGAGGAAGACAATCTTTCCAATCAAAGTAGCCAGCATAAATTCCGGGTTCCAATGAACCCACAATGGGATCAGCCTTTAGCTCAATGTATATTTCAAATAGCCGCTGATCTAATTCTTTTAATGAATCCATACTAACCTAAAATAGAGACAACCATGATGTTAATAATATTAATAGAAAGAATTTGCATGTCACATCCTTTAATCTTGCAAGTGTGCTAGTTAGGTTACTTGCATTTTTTTAACCAATCAATATAAAACGTATTGGCTGCATTTAAACCAAAGTTACTTGTTACAAGAACAGAATATTGGACAATTTACCCCCCCAAATCCCATCTGGTTCAATGAAAAAAAAAAAAGCATCCAATTACGGTATATTAGTATACAGGAAAAACAAGTAACATGACAAAGATTTTGTCTTGTTTCTTTATTGTTACTGTGGTTTTGAGCTTGTAATTCCCATTTACAAAATGATACCCAAGAAAAACTGTGTTTTAAAAAATTTCAACAGGGATGAGATAATGTTTTCCAATGTAAGAACACCCAGCAGAGCAGAAAGCAAGGCGCATGGTGTGGCAATTGGTATTTCATAGCCTTACACCGCTTGAATTTGTTTGAATATAGTGACATAAAGCATTTGAAATAAGGCTCTATGTGTATTTTATTAATTTGAATCACATGACACTGGAAAGACCTTTATGGCTGTCATTTCTTCAAAGCTGGCAAGGTAAGTAGAACAGGAACTGTAGGGATTCTAGGAATGGTATTTTATTATTAAAGGACATAATAAAAGAAATCTTGAAAGTTGTCAAAGTTCCTGTTTTCCCCATCTAATGTCAAATGAAATGAATTCAAATTTCTCTTGCTTCCTCCTTTCTCAAGACTAATATTTTTTAAAAAGTCACTCCCCTTAACAGTTCAGGAGGCTTCCCTGAAGCCTTCGGAGCGCTCAAAACGACGCTCCAAGCAAACCGGAAGCCACTTCTGGTTTGCTCAGAGGGTCATTTTGACTGCTCCGGAGGCTTCAGGGAAGGTCCCTGAAGCCTCCGGAGGGCTTCCGTGGGAGCGGGGGAGGCTGTTTTCGCCCTCCTCAGGTTCCTATAAAGCCTCCGGAGCCTGGGGTGGGTGAAAAAAGCATGCAAAAATGGGGTGTGTGTGCCTGTAGTGCGCGCATGCACACTGGGGAGGTCACACATTGCATTATGGGTGCAGCACGCCGGCACACGACCCCCCCCTGTCCTCCCGCCACATATGGCACGCGAGCCAAAAAAGGTTCGCCATCACTGCTCTAATCCCTTTGTTTTAGGGTGGAGTCGGGGCGACTGAGTCGAACTGAACATTTATTGGCCTGATGCCCTTACTGACGCCTACGTGGAGTTCACAGCAGATATTTTTTTTCTTTGGGCCCTGATAGAGAAACATCTGCTGCTGCCTAGGATTGAACTCTCAACCTTCTGAGTGGGAAATCAGCGTCTTCACTTCTAGGCCACCAGGCTACTCTTCTGTAGTCAGAAAATACTTACTTGAATAATTTTTTCCACTCCTTGGAAACCATGCTTCTCAAAGTGTTCGGCTAGATTAAGGAAAGTGTGACGTTCTAAATAGCAGCAATTACTGAGGACAATTAAAAGCCTTCGTTCCTAAATTAAAAAAAAAAGATCCAATGAAGGGAAATTATTTGAGAAGAAAATGCACATAGCAAACACTTTGCCCTAATGGTACAAGGAAAGGCAAATGCTAACCAGTTAAAAGTTTAAATAATTAGGTAGGACATTTAGCATCTTTATTCATTTTATTATATCTACAGAAAAACCAGAACCTTTGACACCTGAAATATTCACAACAGAGGATACAACATCACTGAATATTCACTGTAAAAACTATTCTTCCACAAGGCACCAGTTACTTAAGGTGCATCATTCTTCTTATATAGAAACATGACAGGAATCATTGATCAAATGTGTTTTGAGATTTGAAAGATCAAATTTGAATGCACCAGGGGTGGGTTTCTCGCCCTGTTCCAACCGGTTCGGTTGGAACGGGGCCGGCGGTGTCCTCGTGCGCGCGCGCGGCGCACGCATGCNACCCAGATTGTGGGGGCGATATGCTGACCCTGTAAACCGCTTAGAGAGGGCTGAAAGCCCTATGAAGCGGTATATAAGTCTAACTGCTATTGCTATAATAGGCAGCTCAATATTTTAATCATTGAACTTGGTTGCCTTGTAACACCAAGACTTACACTTACTGTTTCTTAAAGTACTGAATTGTTAATTTTAGCAAGGTGAAGTTTTGCTGTGCATATGAACCAAAAATATGTTCTTAATTACAAACTTGCAAGGCCGCAAAACACAATAATCATGATATAAAAGTTAGGGGAGGGAATCCCGCCTCTTTGTCCTATTGCTGTTCAGATAGACCTAGAGAATGTCATTGTTTGGCTTCTGTAAAAAGAGAAAAATAGCATTTTGGAATCCAAATAGTATTTTCAGGTGAGGAGGTGAAAGAGAAATACCAATTCAACCCCTCCTGCTAGAAAACTATAATCCTGGGTCATTTCGACAGTTAGTAGAGAAAATAGCACTGTGCTGATATTCAAAGAATGCCATATAAAATGGCTGCATTGACATGCTAAGAAAAGGCAGGTTTTAAGTTGCAGTTAAGTGCACAAGTATTCTTTCTCCTATAGCCACACTTAATAACAATAATTATATATCTGTGTGTATACATATACATATAGAGACTTACACATGAGGCACTATGCCAGTTTTTCAGATGAATGCATCCACAGCCATTATGGCCAGTATTTTATTTTTGCAATGCAACAAATGTCAGGAAGGATTTTTCCTCCCAAATACCTTATGTGTATTTTGAAGGGGCAGTTATTGCAAATTGGAACAAAGAAAAAGAGCTATATAGAAGAAAAAAAAAGCAGAATTGTAGTTATATTTGTCTCTAAAGGCCTGGGTTTGATCTCATGGGTGCGATCTAATGTGAAACTTAAAATGCAATACAAGAGGGAAAAAAACCCAATCTCTCCTTCTCTATAAAAACATAATTTCAAACATATCCTATTAAACAGATCTTTATTGTACTGTGATGGATGGGTGGATGTATTACAGTGGACCTAATATGTTGTACTGTTTGTAGGCACAATATTATCTTTTCGGATAAAATATTTCTTTTATTTTGGCTGGGGAAGTCCGAGAGTTGAACTCCATGTACCTTAAAAGTTCCCAAGGTTGAGAAACACTGATTTAAGGTGATACTATCCATGTGAGTGAAAGAAAGAATGCTTTCCTGCACAATAGCTTTAATTATACTTCTCTTTTACAGTTGAGGTCTTGGAAGATGACAGGGTACAAATATTGCAATCCATATCTTCTGCAGAAGCCCAGGTAAGCCCTTTGTCAGGTGGTGGAGAGAATGGAAAAACACCTTCTAAATTCTATACTATTTTAAGACAATAGGGTTAGAGCAGTGTTTCTCAACCTTGGCAACTTGAAGATGTCCGGACTTCAACTCCCAGAATTCCCCAGCCAGCGAATGCTGGCTGGGGAATTCT